GCCAGAACACTGAGAGGCAGCCTCCTGCTCCTCTTCCCAAGTGCTTTAGAGGCCCTGCAAAAATGACAGGGAATGGGCACAGACCTGGTGCTGTAAGGGATGTCTGAGCTGGGACACTGGGCACAGCCACCTGCAGCACAGGGCAGTAAGGGCAGGGTCATGGTGGGGACAGGGTTGCTGAAAGGTCATGCCAGCATTTCTTTGTTGAGGGTGTGGCCAAACACTCAACAGGCTTCCTAGAGCTGGATGATATCCATAGGCTGTGTGTGTTGACAATGCCCTTCATTGTAGTCAGCCCTGCAGTGGCCTGGCAGTTGGACGATATGATGATTGAAAGGCTTTTCCACCTGAAATCGTTTATTCACCTCTTTCTTCCATAAATAGCAAGGGAAGGGCTCTACTGGAGGGAGCTGGGACACCAGGCACAGCCACATTAGCACAGGGCAGCAAGGGCAGAGTTCATGCCAGGGCCATCAAATGGGGACAGCAGAGACTCCTAACTGGCCCCTGCGTGGCCAGAGGGCTTTTTATCACTTCCCTGTTTCTCCAAGTCACTGTGGCAACACTGTTGCTGCTGCTTTTCTAGATACCACAGTAACAGACATCTCCTTCCTTAGGCTGGACCCCAGTGATGGTTCATGTGCTCACGGAGACAGATGTAGATGAGGGAATGGCAAAGGGATGTCCAAGGGTCCCTGGGTGATCTCATAGTTCACAGTGACAGATGGAGGCACTGCCAGGAACCTTCTCCTGGGACACATAATCTGAATAGTTTGTCCCAGGATTGATGATACCAAGGAGAGATGACCCAACACTGTCGGGATCAAGCAACCTGAAGAAGAGAGAGGGGAGAAAGGGAGTGTCAGCTAATGTTCCTGGGGCACACAGCCCTCCCTGGGCAGGGGAACAGTGATGGGACAATTCTGCCTGCAGGTACACAGATTGGACATCCTGGGCCATGACAGGGCTGGTGGGAGGTCATAACTTCCTCAAGTGTCAGGGGATGGGAACAGTCCTGGAGCTGTAATGGACAGCTAAGCCAAGTGGGTTTTGTATCAGTTTGCCGTTGCTCTGTGTCACTGTGGCAGCACCACTGCTGCTGTCCTGACCACCACAGAAATAGACAGCCTCGTCCTCGGCTTGGACCCCAGAGATGGTTAATGTGGCCGTGTTGCCCGATATGGACCCGGAGAATCGCGAAGGGATGTTCGAGGGTCTGTTGGTCTTAGCATAGATCACAGTGACAGGGGCACTGCCAGGGACCTTCTGCTGGAACCAGCCATACCAGTTGCTGCTAGCCCCAGAGCAGGTGATCTTGACAGCGTCTTCTGCTTTGTGAAACAACAAGGACAACTGAGTCAGCACTGCTGCCTGGACCAGGGAACTTGGAGAGAGAGAGAGGAGAGAAGGGAGAGGACAGTGGTCAGTAGAGCCCCAGGAGCACAGCCCTCCCTGGGCAGAGGGGCAGGAGCCCAAAGGCCTTGTTTTGGCACAGCGAGTCTGGGCATGGCACTTGAACTGTGTTTGAGCACCACGAGGAAGAGAGGGATTGAGGCCATGGTGTGATCCCACCAGCTCCATGTCCTCACCCTGATGGGG